GCCGTGCCTGCTTTGCAAGCAAAAAGTCCTGAGTTCAATCCCCAATACCCCTCAAAAAACAAAAAAAAATTTACTGAACACTATCCTGTTTCAGGTGTGAATTCTCTTATTAGATTTTTCTATGCAGTGCTGCTGTTATTATTATTATTCTCATTTACTGGTTAAACAACTGGTTCTGCAAGCTAAAGGTGACCGCTGAGCTAGGGAAAGTCAAACTTCAGGGCCTACCATACCACTACCTCCACTTGTGCCCCCATTTTATTCTTTCCTTTCGTTTACCCAGCTATAACCTTTGGCTTTGTGGTGACCAGGGATGACTGTAGCATGCTGTTCTAGGTGTCAGTTCCTCAAGTTCCTTACTGCAAGAGCCTGTGAAGCATATTTTGATGGCCTAGCCCAAGCCCTAAGACACCCCAATTCATCCTCTGAGGAACTTTAAAGTTGACTTGGTGGTATTACTTCTAGTTCCACAAGCTCTTCATGTTTTTTGTTTGTTCTTAGAGAACTAAATCTAGATGTTTTCTACCCTGTGAAATGGACCTCCCACTTGTAATATGAGTGATAGACTTAATATCTGAGATATGAGAAAACTTTACACTTATTATTTAAGTATTCAAGGTGAAAACCTTGGCAACAAAATAAATGAATTAAATGGGCTGCTGTTAAGAAAACCAGAGCAGTCTCATATACCAAGTGGCATCAAGTCTGAGAAGACACCAGAAGTGGCAGAGGCTATGGCAATCAAAAAGCCCCTTATCTCAAGTTGATGGCTGCTACACAAGAATGCACAATCAGAGCTTTTGACTCCCTCAAAGAAATGAGAAAGCTTCTTTTAGTGTGTGCACAAAAACTCCTGATTGTTCAAATGGTGGCAACTGTTTTATCGTCTCAGAGTTGTAGGGGCCATTCTTATAAGGCCAAACAAAGCACACATACTAGCCAAATGTGGCCTTGAGGTACCTGTTTGTGACCTTAGTTTTACATCCTACAGTTACCATGTTCAAGAGAGCACAGTTCAAGCTCTTGTTAGTGTCCTTCCCAAAGATGTCCCCAGTGGCAGCCCATCTGGATGTGTCCTGACAATGCTAAGTACATCAAGATTTTCCACAGAGTTCTTCATGCACCTTCATGTGTGAACATGGTAAATAACTCTCATAAGATGTTAACTAGGCCTTGAGCTAATTCAGCAGGGTCACCATCTGGGAGTCCTCAGAAATACTGAGCTGTCAGCACCATAAACATTTTAGGCTTCATGGAGGATGCTGACTTCTTCTAAACTAATCACTCCTGCCAGTCAAGCTTTGCAGAATAGGTTTAAGAACAAGGTGACCATTTAACAACAATAACAAAAACAGTGAGGATGAAAACTGGACAGTCATAATAATGAAAGGCCTAAAAGCAAACTGTGACTTCCCTAATAAGGTGATGACCAAAGCTGGCTCCCTGGTGGTGGAGCGCCAATACAATTAATCAGTCTGTTTTCAGTTTTCTCACGACAGCAATATTAACAGTTCACTCTCTTCTGTTTATATGGTGCTGACAGGTCTTCAGCATGTTGGGCTTACTTGCAGGAGATTAATAGCCACTCTTATACTTAGGTAAAATTAGGCAGGGAGAGAATGCCTTTTTTGACTAGATAAGAACTGCATTCTCTTGCTTTTTTTTGCTTCCCTATTGCCTATCAACTCTTGTGTCTCCTACTCTCTATCAAGGATATGTAAGTCTAGTCATGTCTACAAGGTTCCTCTCACGAGTTACGCTCCTCTCACTTGAGAGGTTATATCCTCAGGTGAAATAAAGGGAACTTTAAACTGATTTTGGCTAAGTTTATCATCCCTAGGTATTGTTGCCTTATTTAGTTTTTTGAAAAACCTCATTCCTAATAAAAGTGAAAGAAATAGATGTGAAATGGCCTCTGTATTTAATGCTATTTTCATGGGAACAGGAGAAGACAGAGTTGATATACAGGACAGAATGCTGCACGAAGTATGGGCACCTTAGAAAATCTTTTAAAGATTATTCCACTTAATCATATTTCAACATAAGTCAAAAGATTTGCAATAATACAAAAAGACTAGTCACCCTTCACTATCTACTCTGTTAAAGTTAAAGGAATGATGTTTATTACTACATACTTTTCTCTCTCCCACGTTAGAGAGAAAAATTATAACTCTAAACTTTTTTGTTTATTTGTTTCTTGAGACAGGGTCTCACTATGTAGTTGAGACTGACCTGGAGCTCACTATGTCACCCAGGACGGTCTCGAACTCACAACGATCCTCCTGTCTCAGCCTCCCGAGTGCTGGGATTACAGGTGTGTGCCACCACACCTAGCTACGCTCTAAACATTTTAACAGCATCTACGTATAGGGAATCTAAAGTAACAAAAATTTAAAAAAATCAATGTGCCTACTCTAAAGTTGTGTAGGAATCAGTATCATTTCTTGTTCTTAGGTAGGTTCTGCTCCATCAATTTTATAAAACAAACATAAAGGTAAGAATGCACTGTATACCTAGGAACCGTAGCTTGGGCTCATATAGCTGCTGGGCCCACTTTCCTTGCTCATTCTCCTGACACAGTAGCAGGAGGACAGGACTAATTCTGCAGAGAGAATATCAGGGGGTAGCTTTTATGGAGAACATTTTATCAAACATTTCTGAAGCCAGATATAAGAATAGTATAGGATAAAAGAAGCAGTATCAATGACAATATCACTGAGTACTTACTGTGTACAAGAACTATTTTTAAAACTTCAGTTGTAGAAGCCCATTTAACTCCCATAACAGAATGTATTTTGGTAAGAGTGAAACAATAATTTTTGTTTGAAGTGCAGAATGTTTGAGAGAGTAGAATAATATAATGGGCTAGATATGGACAGACTCTAAAATCTATACTTGTACTTTAATAATCTGTCTAATGCAAAGGCTGGACTGGAGAAAGGGAAAACAATGCTAAACCAATTGGAAGGATATTGCAATAAACCTGGGAGAGGAAAGATCTGAGAATTAATTCAGAAACATACCAACTCATTGTTTAGATTGATTTGCTCTGTTCGCTTCCTTTTTTTTTCTTTGTTTCTCTCTTTTTTTGGGGGGGTCATTCATTCATTTGTATGTCTCAGACACTATGTTAAGAGACAAACAGGGAAGTAAGAAAAATAGAAATTTGCAAATGTCTCTTACTAGCCATTGTTAAATGATGTTAACGTTCCTCTCTCTCTCCAGATCCTAATACCTCATTTTATACAATGGTCATAAACAAATGGTGGGGGTGAAGGGAAAGGAAAAAAGCTCTGCTGTCTCCATTGTCATCATCCTGGGAATGCCTTCTTCCTAGAACTTCATTTCTTTGCTGGTGGTCTGGCCATAAGGCTCAGTACATGGTGGTAAACCACTAGACTGCTGGAACAGAGTAGGGGTTCTTAGTCATCCATATGAGAAAAAGACCTCCTATTTAATTTCTAAATGTGTGCCCTGATTTGGCATATTTTAACCAAAGCAAAACATTATACCAGAAAGGTATCTGACATGATTCCCATGTGTAGATTTTCATGTAACCTACAAATATAGGCACAAGAAAAACAAACCCTGGGCCAAGACCAAAGGTACTGAAAAATAATAGAACAAGCATACTGTGAATGTTTTAAAAACCTTGTATCTAGTTTGATTGATAAATTAGTATGAGACATATAATTCTGTTGCCTTCCAGAGTAAGCTCTGATCTTTTAAAATTAAGATCTGCTGGGCCCAGGGATTTAGCTCAGTGGTTCGGTGGCCTGCCTCGCAAGCGCAAGGACATGAGTTCAATCCCTGGTACCACAAAAATAAATAAATAAATAAATAAATAAATAAATAAATAAATAAATAAATAAATAAAATTAAGATCTGCTTATAATTTATAAGAATAAATCCCAACCTCTTTCTGGAATCTTCTGAAAAACAGCTAGGTAACAGGATGATTACCACTGAGAAATATTTTGCTCTATGGCAACTTTTCATTATTATTTAATGAGAGCTTGTCTAGATATTATGTACCCTTCACTTTCTACATTGAGTTCTTTTTTAAATGTCTTCTTCCGATGCCTAGGGTTATGTCAGTTTCTTTGGATCTAATTGGATCTCAAATTGCAAACTATTATTTTAATTCTTTCCAAAGGTTCTTATGCAGATAGACATTTCCAAAATCATTTATCATGACTAATGTATGTTGCTGGTTTTTTCTTTTAAAATTAGAAAAATCAAAAGGTATTTTGGGAGAACTTAATATCATCAACAATTATTTCAAGTACAAGCTAGTTCATATACACCAAAGGTGAGAATTTATATGCCCATAAAAATCTAACTATAAAAGAAGGAACTCTATGAGAGTGAGCACATTTTAACTTCAGTTTTAAGGATTTGATTCTGGTTTGGACTTGTGTGTTCTATGAATTATGAGCTTACTCAATTATGGGAAAGCAATCTATACCAATGTGAAGAATAAAAATGCAGAATCCTGGGCTTGTGCATTTTAATTTTACCTCTACTGCTTGTATCATTTACCAAGCTTGGGTGTTTGTTTTGTATGGAAAATAAGATTTGAATAACCACCTACTTATTTCCCACTGAAAATGTTGTTTAGTTAGGAAATATTTCAACCATTCTTATGTTTACTGCTAATAAACAGAAACTGAAACTGAGAAAGTATAAAACACTAGGTGAGTATTCCTACGAATACTGTCTCAGATTAACACGTAAGAGAAGGCTTCGCTGTCCTGGGCACTCAATTCACCAGGGGAAAGCCTGCAGTCACACTGAGAAGTTGTTTTCATTTTGCCTGGCTCAAGCAACATAAGCAGAAAATCATACACATGCCCAGAAGAAGGCCTAGGCGAGAGGTGGAGGGAGACCTACAGAATTAGAACAAGTTGGTGTCTCAAAGTCCTTGGACAGCATCGAACCATCCTCCCTGGGCAGAAAAGAAAAACAAACTGGAACTGTCTGACATTTATGACTCTTACCTGCGGCGAAGATCCTCTGCGACTGCCGCCCGGCAGCTGAACAAATAGGCCCGCAGTGATTTTAGCCGCTGCCGCAGGCGCAACACGGTTGCCAGTGGCTCTGCGTGGAGATACAGCATGGGGTTCTCCTGCTGGATGTCGATCAGGGGCTCTTCATACACGTACTCCAGGAACTCTTTGGCCTGCTTAGACACCTACAAAACAAACTTCAGCAGTCAATCCTGGCGAATCATCTTGCTCAGTCAAACTAAGAACCATAGCTTAGATAGCAAAGTATCATTGTTTTGTTTTGTTTTCCTGAACACAGCTAAATGAAAAAGTCCACAGTTGAACTAAATATAAATTTTGGCTTCTTTCTGTCTTCCAGAAACTCAACTGTAAAACATGTAAGAATTAATTAACTGTATCTTGATTGTGGTAAATATATATATATGTATATGTATATGAATGAGATAAAAATAACAACTATATTGATGCATTATACCAACATCAACTTCCTTATTGGTTAGTTTGATTTTTATCAAACTTACTATAGTACCTAAAATGTTACCAAAGGAGGAAACTGGGTGAAAGGCACAGGAGACCTCTCTGTACTGTCTCTGCAATTTCCTGTGTTTCCATAACTATTTCAAAGTAAAAACAAATTAAGACCCTTTTAACATCAATGCTGATTTTAAGAACCACATAAAAATATAATATGTATATGTGGATACTGTGGTGGTGATGGTGGAATGTCAACTTGATAGCCTTTGGTATCCTCTCTAGGGACTGGTGGTGCAAGTTCCTGGGCTCCTGCCAGACCACTCTGCCCAGATGTTTCTGCCTTCGAGCCAGCTGACCATGGACTGAGCCCCCTAAAAATGTGAGCCAAATTAAACCTATCCTCTTTTAAATTGTGGGTGTTGGTTACTTAGGAGCCCCCTAAAAATGTGAGCCAAATTAAACCTATCCTCTTTTAAATTGTGGGTGTTGGTTACTTAGTCTAACAATAGAAAAGCTAACAGAGGTGTATATTCTATTAACAAGTGGTCACTTAAAAAAAACAGGTATATTGCATACACATTAAATTAAAAAGAACTGAAACAGTCTACTAAGAAAGGAAAGGAAAAGGAAGGACATTATATGCAAAATAATATGACTGACTAGAAAACAGGCTCAAACACACTATTCAGTAAGCAGAGTTTCTTTTGTTAGAACACCTTTGAATTTGGGCTGACTCTGGCCAGTATATCCATCCAACCTTGATCCACTTCTGTTATAGACAAGACTGTTCTGGCTTGTATCTGGATGCCCCTCCAAAGCCTCAGGAACTCAGGTAGGGCTTGCAGGAAATGAATAAATCATGGCGGCACTACAGCTGGCTTGGTGTTAGAAAGTGGGGCCTGGTCAGAAGAGGTGGGTCAGCAAAGGGTGACCTGGAAGGGTAAATCTCCCTCCTGGAGCCTCCCTCTCTGCTTCCCAGCTGCCATGGCACAGGCAGCTTTTCCTCCACTGTGCCCCTCTGCCATGCCTGCCTGCTTTGGAGCCAGGTGACTACGAACTGGAAAACATGAGCCAAAATAAACCTCTTCACCTTTAAGTCCTGGGTGTTAGGTATGGTATTCCAGTGAAGAGGAAAGTGACTAGGACAAACACTATGACTTGTTGATTTTAAAATGTCATTGTCATCGGTAGAAATAAACTGTGCATCAGAAACACAATGCACCAGAGATAGAGAGGGAATAGCTTCAATAATGAATAACATGGGTAATTCTTTTAGAATCTCTACAAGCAGATTCACTGATACTAAGATGTAAATTGGCTAACAATTTCTATTTATGGAAGGCAAAATGTCTCCAAAAAGTCTCCACTAACACCTCCCTAGGACAGCATGGCTGGAATTCAGCACTGAAACAAACTCTCATCAAGAAATAAAATAAAATAAAATTGAAATTCAGTATGCTTCATATTGTAGACCAGAAACTTATTAAATGAAGATGAACAGGAGACAGCCTCTACCTTCGAGGGGCTCACTGTTTATAAAGGACAAATATTTAAAAAAAAAAAAAAATATATATATATATATATATTTTTCTCATAAGGATATATATACACACACACACACATATATAACCTGTCATCTGTTACAGAGGCATAGGTGAAGCCTACTGGTAGCATAAAGGAGGGAGAAATTAACTTTCCTGATGAATGGGCTGAGAAAGCAGGTGATAGAGGATCCACGTATAGAAAGATAACTAGAAATTCACCAGGTGAGACAGGTGTGGTGGTGCATGCCTGTTTCTAATCTCACTCTGAGAGGCTGAGGCAAGAGGATGGCAAGTTTGAGCCCAACCTGGGCAATATGGTGACTTAGTGAGACCCTGTCTCAAAATAAAAAGGTCTGGGGATGTAGCTTAGCGATGAAGCCTTAGGTTCAGTCCCCAGTATTAGAGAAAAGAAAAATTCACTTGGTGGACAAGGTATGACAGAAAAGACACCATGAAAACCCCTCATTATGTATATCATTAAACATACATCTATTGTGCACTAATGAAAAGCATGCATTGTATATACATATATAAAATTCATATTATCTTTTTCTTATATTGTAAAGGTCATACTAAAGTTTATGTTTCTCATAAGGATATAAAAATGGCATTATTTTAAAATGTCTTTTTTTCCTCTTATAAGCAATTATTTTTGAGATACCTGTTCTGTTGTCTGATCCTGCAGTTAAGAGTTAAAGGAGCCTACAAGTTTCTGCAAATCCAGCTGACAAGGAGGCACCTAGAATTAGTTAAAGCTTTCGAGGAATCAGCTATACTGGAAATAACAAGATGACATGACAGAGTGAAAAAATCCTGCTTTGTGTCTGAGGGTTACAGACACAGGTACATGCCCAGATACCACAGCAGGCATTAGGCCTTTGATGGAAGACAAAACAGGCAGAGCCTTGTCCTCAGGTAGCTCACAGGTCAGTACAGAAAGGCAGAATGGGTTAAATATTTTATTTAACATGTTTAAATATTTACTGTATTTAAAAGTCTTCAATGAGGAAAAAAACGGATGGTGTTCTGGGAAATGAAGTACAATCCACTTGAAACTGTTGCTAACAAAAATGATGTATTGTACAATTCAATTAGTCCTTCTACCTCTATGGAGCAGTGTTTATACTGAGTCAGGGCCCTGCTGAATTAGGTTAACAATGCTACCTTTTAGGAGGTGAACAGAAGGACAAAGGGCACTGCCTAGTCTCCCAGGCCTTAAAAGGATTCTCTCTTCAGGTGGTACTCAAACCCGAAAGCAGAAAAAAAAGTCTTTTACAGAGACAGTAAAAGCAGTGAGACAAATGAGAAAGCAGCTACTGACAGCAGTATTCATAAACTGAAATGACAAAAAACAAAACAGCTAGTTTCAACAATGTCAAAGCACTGTGTTCTCAAGTTATTAACTAGCATTAAGCATACTGAGCACATCCTTGACTCCACAGCTTGGGCAAATGAAGAAATCCTTGCCACACAGAGCCATTTTTGGCAACAAGACTGAGCACATGCTCTGGTTTTTTAAGAATCAACCATTAAGACTGGTGAGGGAATTTTTGAGAGAGCTCAAAATTTGGCATGAAGTTCTGGTTTTGGAAAATGTAGCCCTGCTGAATTCTTAAGTCCTAAATGACCCTCCATACTGGCACAAGGAGTCCACTCTCAAACTCAACTATAATTAAAAATATTTTTAAAAAAAATTTAAAAGGAAGTTACTTAGGAAAAGTGGCCAATGATATTCAATGTTTATATGAGAGAAGTCTCCTTCTTATTAATATAAAAATTAAATGAACACTGACTACATTCCAGCTAAGAGCTAAGAAGTACTACCCTAATTCTTGCCAAGTGAATTATGAAAAATATAAAATGCCTGAGTGTTGTTTCAGATGTAAATAACAACTTAGTTCATGAGTCAGGTGCAGCTGGGTGAGTGCTGCTTTTAAAAAAATAAATGCTTTGGCTGACAATCTTTTCTGTGATCGCACTCCATTCATATTAGAATCAAATTTTGCATGGTCAGTGGCTCATTTTTTATAGTGAATATGAAAATTAAAAAGATTTATTACAGTAAAAGAAATGCTGGCATTACTCCTTCAAAATTCTCCCCCTCACTTTGAACTTATTACATTGATCTTACCACCCTTTGACTCATCTTTGAGAATTCTCCTTCATGAGTGTCTTTAGGAAGTGTAGCACAAAACACAGTAAATGCTGCTGCCTCTGACAGCCATCCAAAGGAAAGGCAGGCTTGTAAAAACATTATGGTGCGGGGCTGGGGACTTAGCTCAGAAGTGCTGCTGCCTGCATCACAAGCTCAAGGTCCTCAGTTCAATCTGCAGTACCAAAAAAAAAAAAAAAAACCAACCCCAAAACAAAACATTATGGTGTATCCTCATCTACTGAATCTAGCACTGTGATTCCTGGCTCTTCTCCCAAAGATAACCATGAAAGGTAAACATTTTGAATCGACTCAGGACATCAAAGCAGCCAAGATGGTACAACTAAAGACACTCATGAAAGAAGACTTCCGGAACTGTTTCAGAAAAGTTATGTTCAAATTGACAAAGAATATTATGAGGGAGATTAATAGCAACATGTTTTTTCCTTTCCTAACCTCTTTTATTTCTCTTTTTTTATAGCAAAACATTTATTGGTACATTTTAGATATACATAATGATAATACTCATCATGGGAATTTGCACCTGTACATGGTAATCCTACCCTTTTTTTTCCATTCCTCCCTTCCCCCAGCCCCATAAACAAAAGCTTTGTTTCCATTTTTCTTTCTATTTTCACTTTTTTCCTTGTCCCTTCCTTCCTTTCTCTCTCCCTCCTCCCTTGTCCCACTTCCCATTTGAACATTTTCTTCCCATTTCCCAATATCTATTATATATTTTAGTAGTGGCTCATTTTTCAAACCTATGGGCCTATTAGTATCTTACCTAGTGATATTTAGATTTTAATATAAACAAATCTCTTCACATTGCTCTTATTACTTATATGTAGAATAGTTTTAAGCCATAAGAACTCAATGCCTTTACTATGGTTGTGTCTTTCAGTTGGTATGATTCAAGATGAAGGAAGAAGTCCAGATGGAAACAGGTCTCCGTTACCTCACAGTCAGGGAAGTTGGAAAGAACAGTACAACCACACTATAATTAACTACAAACTAA